TTCTGTGCTAGTTACAGGCAGAGGGACTGTGTGGTCAGCCTGGCCCCCACCACGCCCCCCAGTCCTGGGTCATAGCGAGCTCACTGGGTCTCCGAGTGGCCGGATTTCACTGTCTCTGCCTTGTTCTTCTCCCACCAAACAACATGGTAATGCATGATCGGAAGAAAGGAGTTACAAGATGGTGTGTGTGTGTGTAGGGGGGGGCTTCAGGCAGAAATGACACGGTATCGCTGAAGGTTAGAGGTCCAAATGCATGGAAAAGAAATAGAAAAGGAAACGTATTAGAGATATGTGTGTGGTCACTCAGTTGTGTCCGACTTTTTGTGACCTCATGGAATGTAGACTCTCAGGCTCCTCTGTCCTTGGGATTCTCCAGGCAAGAATACTGGAGTGGGTGGCCATGACCTACTCCAGGGGATCTTCCCGACCCAGGGATCGAACCCATGTCTTCTGCACTGGCAGGTGGATTCTTTACCAATGAGCCACCTGGGATGCCCCATTTAGATATGTTGCAGGAAAATTTCCTCAAAGTGAAGAATTGTGTGAAGTAATGGAAAACACAGATAAAACAAGAAACAGGGACATGTGATTACTATCACAGCAACCTGCTTCTTTTTTTTTTTTTAATTATGAAGTTTATTAATTTGGAGACTTTTTTTTTGGGCCACACCCTGTGGCATACAGGATCTCAGGTCACTGAGCATGGAAGGAACCCATGCCCTCTGCACTAGGAGTGCAGAGCCGTAATCACTGGACCACCAGGGAAGTCTGCAACATGCTTCTTAACACTTCTAAGCCTGAAGAAAACATGCACTCACCCACAGTTAGGGGAGTGGGTTATTTACGAGTGCATACTGCAGACTCCAGATACCTATGTTCACAAACCGCTGGACTGGGTCCTTCAGGGTGGCAGCTGGCTGCAGCCATCAAGGTCTCCCAGAGTCACCGGCCACCCCACTGAGAGGCGCTGGGCTGGAGAGCAGGACACCACCCCTCTGCCTGGAGGCACTGCCGTGACCTGTCTCTTCTCTGCCTCAAGTGTCTCCCTTTTCAATTTTACTGTCCACGTAACTAGCAGGATTTGTAAAAGTGAAAGTTCCCAGGGACTTAGATTGTGGAGAACAGAATAGTGAACTTGCCCGTGCCCAACACCCAGCCTCAGCAATCATGAATATTTTCCTGTTCTTTCTCATCTCTGCAGCTCAGCTAGCTCTTCCCTAATTTTTGTCAGAATACTTCAAACACATTACCAGCTTTTCTATTTTTTTTTTTTCAAGAGTAAAACCAGGTATCTCACTTCTTCTCCTGCAGGACAGAGCCTGTTATATGGACTGCGTGTCTGTATCCCCCTCAAGTTCATATGTTGAAGCCCTGAGCCCATGTGGAGGTATTTGGAGGTGGGGCCTTCTGGGAAGGAAGTAGGGTTAGAGGGGCCGTGAGGGTGGTGCTCCCAAGAGGGGATTGGTGTCCTTCTATAAAGAGATACCAGGGAGCTTGCTCTCTGACTCTCTGCCGTGAGAGGATACAGGACAAGGCAGCTCGTGTGCAAGCGAGGAGGGCGGCTCTCCCCAGGCACTGAATCAGCCGGCACCTTGATCTTGGACGTCAGACTCCCAGCGTGGAAGTTACTCCCAAAGGAGCATCAGTTTGGCTGTTGAATGTTTTACCTCTTGGTCTTCGTTTAGATCACCTCTAGAAGAAAGCCCACAGCAGGGCAGAGGGGAGGAGGCGGGTGGAAAAGGCAGTAGAACTGGGTGCCAAGCACCCGAAGCAAACTCGTTTAGCCCACCCTTCACTGAATTAAATGGCCTGTGGCTGCCCCTTAACACTGGGGTACTAAAACTGTGGCTCTCAGACAAACCCAATCTCTGCCTCTTTTTGTAAGGCCCACGCCAAGAAAGGTTTGGGTTTTTTTTTTTTTACATCTTCAAAGAGTTGAAGAAAAATGACAGCCACACTGATATGTGGCAACGTCGAAAATATTTACTATCTGGCCCATTTATGGAAAAACTCCTCCCGTGCTCCCCAGGTTTAAGAGTGATTTGGTTTGTGTGTTTTCTACCTCACACAGCCTTCCTGCAGGCTGTAGTGCATTGTGGTATTAGCAAAGTCATTTTACAAGTCTTTGACTGCATTCTACACCCAAGGTATAGGACCATGGCCAGACAGCGCTGTGGGATAGCCACTCCCAACATCCTTGGGTTGGGAGACGAGGAGGAGATTAGAAACCATCAAAACACAAAGCCTGGACTTGGAAGCAGGATCAGGAAAGCCACACGATCATCTGCTGGGTTTCTGTTATTAACCAGCTGCCAGTGAGCATCAGGGCCAGAACCCACAATGAGCAGGTCCCCGAACAGCCTCCTGCAGTCCTGGGGTGTGTGTTGTAACAGGTGTAAGAGAACCAATATCCAGGAAGATGCTAGCATTCAGGTGACATGACATGAAAACCACAAAAAAAGAGGCAAATCTTGTTGAATTCAAAATGTATTAAGCCAACTTAAAAATCTCACAGAAATGAAAGCAATACACATGTTCACGAATCACTTGTGATTCATTAGCCTGGTTTCTGGAAATTCCTCTTCAGAAAACAACAGAAAATACAAAATGAGTTACATGCACACAGACGTTTTGGCAGCACTCTTTTTTGAAAGAGAACGTGGGAAATTACACAAACTCAACGAGCTGCACTCAGTGGGTAGCTGTGGCTGAAGTGCCCGGATGAAGGTTCTGGGGTCTGAATGCAGAGCCGTGCCTGGTGCTATTTATCATGGCTCCTGAGACTTTCCAGAGGGTTAGAGCCAGGGGGAAATATTATGCAGATTGAAATATATCCAGACTTGTTTTGATGCAAAAAGAACTACAACTGAGAGGGTAACAGGCAGGAAGGCTATGGGTCCCCAAGTGCAGGAAATAGACTGCAAGCGTCAGATGTTTTTTTCCTTCTCGATACAAAATTAATAGGTTTCTTTAAAAATTCTGTGTTGTCATGATAACAACTGGTTCCACCAGAACTTTTCTCAAACATTGAGCTAACCAATGCATTTTTCTTATGGAAATGTTTTTCTTAAGCTATGTTAATGAACTATGTATTTAACCTTAGACTCGTCTTTCTTCAAGTCTCTGCCTAAGACTCAGAACCAATAATGGCTCAACAAACCAGTATGTTTTACTCATGAAAATGTTCTTAGGCTGTATTAATGAGACTATGTACTTGCTTGGAAATCTGCCTTTCTTCAAGATTCATGTCAATTGTTTTATGGCCTGGGTTGACTCACCTTGTGCCACTGTTATCTCAAAATGCAGACTGTGGATGAGGGGCCTGGTGCCACTCTTGAGTTTTGAGACATTTCCTCTCTCCAATTAGCAGCCTGCTGATGGGTGTATAGCTTCTTGCTGAAAACTAGCAGGAGGGCACTCTTTCTGCCCGCTTCTGATGTCTGGGTCAGAAGTTCTTTTATATTTTAATAAAACTTTATTACACAAAAGCTCTGAGCGATCAAGCCTCGTCACTGGCCCCAGATTGAATTTCTCTCCTCTGGAGGCCAAGAATCCCAGCGTCTTTCATGGCTCAGCAGCAACCTTTCACAACTCTCTGTGGTATTAACAGCCCAGGGAAGTGCACTCTGGCATCAGAGACCACGACCCTTCACACACCTCCACATCACAGGGGCTCCATGGGCCACACTGTAAGAAGCTATTAAATGAAAAAAAAAAAAACCAAAAAAACAAACCCAGGATAGAAAGCTGTATGTACACTATATGGTTGCAGCACCAGGGAGCCTGTTCCGTATTAACCATGGTCGGATGAACAGAGATTTCAGGTAATCTATGTTCCATTTGCTTTTTTTTGGTAATGGGTCTTAGTACTCTTATAATGAAAAATGTGATTAGAGAACTTTGTTCAGTCGCTAAGCCTCCACAACGGTAATGAAATCTGAGACAGATGATCATAATACTAGCTTTTCAACCCCATGTTTTCAGTCTTGGTATCCTTACTTGGACTCATTTTAAGAAAAGCAGGATTACAGAAATGTGAGTCAGAAGTTATAACACACTGTACTGTTTGTTGTAAATTGACTAGAGGCCAAGAACCAGAACTGAAATGATCTAAGGCCCACAAGCTTGGGCACAGAAATAAGCAAGGAAGTATGAGAATAGGCAAGCCAGGAAATGTCCCAGTGTGTAGACAGGTGTTCTGCTGGGGCACGCGTGGCCCAAGCAGGTGGACACAGCCTCTTCTCTCAGCAACGATCTCAGCTGGATCTGTTACTTCTCAGAGTCCCCATGGGGCCTGGGGACACACAGAGGGACAGACAAGACACTGTGGGATGCACAGAGCCTGCTCCCACGTGCACGCCCCCCAGCCTGGGTAATGTCACCCTGAGGGATGGGAAGTCACCGGGCCATCCCAGAAACCCTCCGTGGGCAAATAAGCTCATCTTGCCGGGCCACCCAGAACAAAGCTGCAGGACCCCATGTACCACTTTCACCTGTCTGTAATCTCACCGCTCCGCAACTCCCCAAATCTACATCACATACCCAATCCAACGGAACAAAAGAATTCGGATCCTTCTGATCATAAAATGCCATAATTTATTATAATTTCTCTGCAGTGCAGTAGTTAGTTAAAATGTATACAACTCCTATATCTGATTCATCAAGAACTAGGTCTTATCAGAAGGCCCTGCTACACTCATCGACTCCACACTGGTGAGCCAGAGAACACCAAGCTGACCGGGGCTCAGCACAGCGGAACCACACGGAGGGAAGACACCTCCGACTCTCTAACTGTGTGGATCTGTCCACTGAGCCATACTTTATAATGAGAGAGAAATCCCCGCACCAGGTGTCTCTAAACACATGGAGACTGAACCATCAGAGGAGCGCTGCTAATTCACTACTCGCCAGGATTCTACACGCCGGGTCTCGTGACTGTCTAGAGGATTGCAGGCAAGAATGCAGACAGATACAGAAAGGGTAATCTTTAAACTGGGCTCTCAGTGGCGGGGGGACTCCCGTCCTGAAGAGGGCTGGGGCATCCTGAACTTGGAGAGGTCCAGGTTTAGGTCTAAGAAGGTGTATGTGCTGTAGTCATGATGCTGGAGGTTCTTGTAGGTGGTGTTGTCAAACGGCTCGGTGGGAGTGGCTGATGCAGGCTCTGCAGGGAAAACACAACAGTGGGTAAGTGGGGAGCTTCTGAATGGGTCAACTGTCTCTCTCTCATACACACACCCCAAGCAGTCTTCATAAATCCCACATGTAATAAACACATTGTCTACTTAGAAAAGAAAAGCCCAGAAAGCAACAGTATCTTCAAAAGCAAAATAAAGAAACTCGATGAAAATTTACACTAATCATGTAAGAGGTGGAATAGCTGTTATAATGCCTTTATATCTTACTTTGTGTGGACCCTGGACTTCTCAGAATTTTGCAAATGCCAAGAACAGTTATGGAGGGATGTGCAGGTCATTTAAAGATGCAGGAAAAAAAGCAGATCTATTAAAAATCTATCTCTAACAGCAATAAACCATTTACAGAAGAAAAATTTTAAAGTGGCAACTAAGTGAGACTCCTAAGTCTCCAAATACAAGAAAATCAGGTAAAGTCCAATGTTTTTGATGATAACACAGTTAAGGGGAACTAGAAATGAGATATGGAGCTTTTGTTGTTTAACTTTTTAAAAAAGAAATTGCTGGTAAACTTTAGATTCAGACTAAAAAATACTTAGCCTTCTCTCTCTATGTGGAAGAAAGAAGAATTAGAACCCACACACCTACACAATTGGTGCTCTTAATACCATGTGTGTGGATGAAGCAAAAGACAACCCACTTCCCTGTGATGTGCCGTGAGACATGAGGATGGCACAGGGGAGCTGGCCTGGGTCATGGCTGATGCTGGACGGGTTCTCACGGGCCTGAAACTACTGTTGTCCAGACTCCGTTCACTTCTAATCATGCTGCAAAAAAGTAACTAGTTTCCCATTATTTGAATTCATATCAAAATTTTCATACCAAAATGTTTTTCATTTTCTTAGTCGCGTTAAAACAAATGATGTCTTATTAAGAGAACTGATCTCCTCCCCGTCGCAACAAGCAGGGTATCTTCTCATGGGGACAGCTCAGGCAGGTGCATCCTCACAGTCCATGTGTGGGGGGGAGCTGACAGAAGGGGATCGAACCCCCACCCCTCCCCGGCAGGACAGGAGCCCAGTGGCTGGGTTGGGTGAGCTACAGCTCACCCCCTGCAGACGCTACCCTGACAGTCAGCTGCACTCCGGGCAGCGTCTTTAGCCTCCAAAAGGCAAAGAGAATGTTGGAAAAATAACACAATCATCAAAAATTAGCCAAATTGTTTTCAAAAAGATCTGCAATCTGAAAACTCCCAATTCTGTGTTACCCTGAAGGTGTGACAAGTCTATAGCAGAGTGACTACGACAGCAGCAGGAAAGCAGTTTTTGGGGTCAGGAGGAGGCTGGCAGGTGCTGGCTGCAGCTTCGTATGTTCATGAAAGAGGGAGAAAAGGGGAGGGAAGAAAACACACAACACTGTAACACACTGAGGCAACAACAGTAATTACAGGTAACGTACACTAGCCTAGGAGAGGCTTTAAACAGAAAAGAGTGCAGACAGGAAGAAGCCGGGTTTGTTAGTGATGGGTGCATTTCAAGAGCCACAGATCCTAAAACTGGAGACCTGCTTTCCCATTTTGCTGTGGTCCCCCTAAAGCACACTGTATTTTATGAAGTTCGATGCACAAGAAAGTGGTAAAATAAGAATAAGCAGTTTCCCATTAAAAATTTGGGGGAGCAAAAAAGTCCTTCATAAAAACTCAGTACAGAAAAACAAAGCAGCCTGCTGTGCTCTTCAGGTGGATCAGAGGACACGTCCAGGGTAAACTAGACTCGGGCAGTTCAGGGCTGCCTTAAGGTCCAGCTTCAATCCCTAAAGTGAGCTCTTCCCTTAGGCATAACGATGCTAAACACAAAGGCCTGTTCAGCTCACCTGAAGGACATTTCTCCAAGTGTAAGCACCGCTCCTCACCTGGGGAGTTTAACAGAACCCTCCCACCACCCCTCACTCAATGAGGTTCCCTGCTGGTTCAACACCCTTCAAAATTAAGAATGAAGATGTTCATCTGCCTGTTGTCACAAGTTCTACTGGTTAAGAAACAGTCGGAAGCGCCAAGGGCAAACTTTTTCACTGTGAAATACATCTGAAATGTTTTAGGAATTTCTGCCCATAATGAACACACACCCGCCAGCGTATCTGAGACACTGCTACAGGCCACAGGCCTCCTGGGGGACCTGATCAAGTGTAGCGCTTGTTTTCATCACACAGTTCCTCAAAGCCTGACCTCCCCACCCGAAGGACAGAAAGAGCTCTGAACCCCAAGACAAGGTGTACCCCGTGTGTGGTCCTGGCCTTCCACTTGAGCAGCAGAGTCCTCCATGATCCCGCCCTTCTCCTCAAGCTCCAGCACTGCAGGCTTTTCATCCAGAACATCTTCATTCTGAACAGCGGCTGGCTGCAAATTTTGCATGGGTAGCTGATCTGCCAAAATCTCTTCCTCAGCCTTTAAGATTCCTTCTGCTGCCTGCTTTTCCACTTTTTCTGTTTTGAACAGGGGAAGAGCCAGCTCCCCATCTGCTTCTGGTACTTTTTTCTCCAAAAGGCTCCCTCTGGCCTCAGGAGGAGGGGCTGGCGGCTGCCCCCCAGCTCTGGCTCCTGTTGATGGGATGGGCGCCGGGCTGCCATCGGGATGTGTGGACAATCCCCACGTTGTTCGGTCAGACAAGACTTTTTTAACTTCAAGTGGCTTTTGGCTTTCTTTGTCTATTTTGTTTGATCTAGATATCTTCTGCGATTGTTTCTCCTTTACATTTTGCTTCACAGACTCCTCAGCGGCGTGTGACTTGGGCGCTGCGGTTTTGGGTTTGGGGTCCTTTCTGTCCTCCAGGGGCTGACTGGAGGCCCCTTTTCTCTTTGCCTGGCGGGGCCTCTCTGCAGGGGTGAGGTCCGGGTGTGGCTGCTGTGCCACTGTCTTCTCTTTGGCCGAGAGCTCAGTTTTGGGGGCCCTATCTGCAGAGGAACGTGAGGCCTCTGCTACGGGAGACCCTCCCCTGCGCCTGCTCTTCACCTGAGGACCTGTTCCTGAGCGGTCGCCCTCCTCGTCAGACTCTGAATCGGAGGAGCTGGATGAGGATGAAGATGAAGACGAATCATCCGTCCCTCTCCTGCCCCACTGGGCTGCCTCTGAACCTGAACCCTGTTTTCTGAATGGAGACACGACTTTCTGAGGAAACTCTACCAAAGTCTTTCTTGACAAAAGCTTCGGAAGCCCTTGGTCTGTGTGCAGCACACTGGCATCGGGGTTGGGGCTTGCTAGCGTCCTGCTTTGGTTCACAACTGATGGGGAGGAAGTGGGTGCAGATAAGGTTTTGGACCCCGCATCTGCTGTTGGGGGGGTGAGCTGCTGGCCCCTCTCCTTTGGTTCCACTACATCTAGGAAACGGCATAAAGAGGATTATTATTTTTCATATCGAGTACAACAGTGTGAATTCATCAAGGTCACAGACATTTCATTACACATCACCTTGTTACTGACAGTATCTTCAACATCATCATCTTACGAACTACTCCATGGAAACCCACTCTTAACGGAAAGCCAAGCCACACAGGAGAACAATTAAAAAAAAAAAATTGCAGATGTCTTTCTTGATAGCTGAAGATTTTTTAAGATGGGTTTTTTAAACAATAGAAGAAGTAACAATCTTATCTCCATTTTTCACAGTGAGCGCTTCCTGATAATTATTTTTTAAACTACTATTGCATCTCAATTTAAGATAAATTATAAAGATATTTTCAGATGATGAAAGTTTTAGAAATGCCTGATTTCTCAAATCCCTAAAGAAATTGATGCCTCTCAAATATTTTTAAAATGACCCATATTGCATGAATTTGACCTTTTAAACAAAAGAACAAAGCAAAGGTGGAGAACAGAGTCTGGTTTGGGTCTGGGGGAAGCACATGCACAAGTTTAAGAGTGGGGGGTGGGAGGGAGGGGATACTGGGAGTCAAATGAAGGTGTTCCTGAGAGGAACAAGAGTCCTGCAAAATCATGTCCTTCAGCGGTTTCTTCTGCCAAAGAAAACTGTTTCAAGACCAAAAAGGTCTAAAATAACTGAGTATCATATGTGTCATTAGAAACAGTGAGTCTTAAACTGTTAAAGTAAGTGGTACTGTAAGTCTTAGATGTTGCAGAGTCAACCAGGAAAGAAAATGAAATCCCACAAAACATTCATTAGTTCTATTTTCACTCGTCTCTGGTGATAAATCTTTTTTAACCATACAGATAAGAAGAAAAATACAGAACAAGTTTATATAAATTAAAATTACTTTTCAAGTCTAAAGCAAAATTTAAAAAAATATATTGCAGATGAGCAAACTCTAAATGCATTTCCTATTTTTCAAGTCTAGGAGACTATTTTATACTAAAAAGTATACCACTTCTTTAAAGTGGAAAAAAATGTATTTCTAACTTTACCATTTTACTGGTATCCAAAAAAAAAATCTCTTAATTGTTTTCTGAGATCAGGGACTATATATACACACACACACACACACACACAGACTATATATATATACACACATATATACACATACACACACATATATACATACATATACATATATATATACACACATCAGAATGACAGAAAATGATCAAAGAAAACAGAAATAATCAGAAATGGGCCAGAGAGAGGTCAATGGGCAGTGTAAGAGGATATGACTGAACAGCCAGAGCTGTGGGTGACAGTTTAAACTCCCTCCATGCCCTGTCTGAATCTGCAGCCATGCACCATCCCAGAACCTGCATTCTGACTGCAGGAACAGAACAAGCACAGAGCCCCAGGATCACATTAAACATAAAATCAAGATAAATGCATGCACATGCACTCAATCCCTCTCATTCTGTCTATCTAAACCATACCTGAAACAGCACAAAGGCTCTGACAAGGAATGTGTAACATACACTGGCCTCCAGACCCTGCTAGCCTGCTCACCTCTACCACTGATCCACTTTTATGCTGAGCATGAATTTTCCAAGTGTGAAAAATTAACTTCTATTAAGGCTTATTTTAGATAGGCTACTATCTAATTATAATGCCTCACTCACAATTTATTACGAAGATTTTTTAAAATGTAAGTAAGTTATTAAAACCATTAGACTTACCACCTATTGAAAGCAAAAAGAAAATCTCAAATGAAATAGTTTATTTTGTTTGAAAAAGGAAACTTTGGTCTACCATATTAAATAAGGATGCTTTAAAATATCTTCTATGCAGGCTTAGTTACTGGGAGAACCCCACAGACAGGCTAACAGACTGAACCACAGTAACAGTTGCCTTTCATCAGGAGCCAACCTCCGACGCTCTGCAGCGCAGGCCCAGCATCCTCTGTGACTTGGAGGGAAGCCGGCTGCAATGACCACAGCTGCCACCAGTGACCCCTGTCCACAGTGCCGGCGGGGACACCACGTCTGCACTCGGCAGAGTGGGATCCTGCCGCCTGGAGACAGCCACGTGTACCGAGCAGCGTGCTCGCTCTGAACTTAAGCATGACTCTACCTGTTTGTTTTCACAAAACTTGTTTCTAGAGGCTGGACACCTGCATACTCTGACAGCGTTCTAGTTTGAGTGTGACTTTCCTGGAAAGACAAATATTCGAGACACAAAGCCCCTAGAATAAGACCAGTCACAGAGCCTCCCCTCCCAGCATGAGGCGGACTTTCGGGGGCGGGTTCTAATCCTCAGAGGCTGTCACAGCCCAGATAAATAAAGGTCTACAGAAACAAGTCACAGCGCAGAGGCAGCACTCTCCTACAGCTTCTGTGTCTCCTCTCCACTTGAATCTCCTGAGTATCTTTTCTCACTGAAAAATAGGGGTGGGCACAACTTCCAGCTTTTTAGTAGCACCCTAACTGAAAACGAAGGTGACTTAGGTGTTCAAAACAGATGAGCAGCTCCACATCTTGTCAGCAGGTCACAAAACTAATTTCAGAAACAAAGGTACATTTCAACAGGATGCGAAACAGTTTTTCAATTTTATATGGTAACAAAAACTTCTTTTCGTATGATTTTTACTATTAAAGAAAAGTTGGGCTTTTTTTTTTTTTGGTTTTAATGAATACACAAGAATTGATTTTTTCCCACCAACAAGACAACACACTGCTTATAAATATAGACTGGGGATCTTACTGCTGGGGCTCATCAGGCTCCACTATTGACATGGTGTGACCCTCGATGGCTCAGGAGCCTCTCCCCTCTCCACTTTCTCATCTGTAACACAGGGATGTTAAACATAGGGCTTCCCTGGTGGCTCAGTGGTAAAGAAACCACAGGCAATGCAAGAGATGCGGGTTTGACTGTGGATTCAATTCACTGATCCCTGACACCTCGGGAGAAATATTGAGGACTGCACATGCTGACTTAGAAGCAGGATTTCTTTTCCTTCATGCAGGGACTGGAATTACTTTTTAAGTTCTGAAATACAAGTGTAAAGTGCATTAAAGACAGCACAGCTCTAAAAGCTGTCTTCCCACCTGACTGCACACACACATCACACAGGTCATCAGCCTCACACTGACCTAGCAAGACTGGCCCGCTGACTCCACTCAACATGAAGGGACTTGAGGCCTGCAGGGTTTGCTGTGGCCAGAGGTGGAAGCTACGTGAGCCCAAGGCCAACCCCCAGCTCAGTATTCCTTTCTCACAACTGCACCCAAAACCATCACAGGATGAAGCATTCTATTTCTGTTTACATATAGAAGCACATTTCTGAAAAGGGGGATCTTTGGAAAAAAGAAGAGACTTTATGTTTAAGATTGTTGCTGTTTAGTCGCTAAGTCATGTCCAACTCTTTTGTGGCCCCATGGACTGTGGCCTGCCAGGCTCCTCTGTCCATGGGATTTCCCAAGCAAGAATACTGGAGTGGGCTGCCATTTCTGTCTCCAGGGGATCTTCCTGACCCAGGGATTGAATCCACAGTCAAACCCGCATCTCCTGCATTGCAGGTGGATTCTTTACCACTGAGCCACCAGGGAAGCCCTGTGTTTAAGATAGCTATTTTAAGATGTGAAGATGAAAATTGAAAAAGAACATGGGCTTTAAAAACGTGGCAGGTGCAGGACAGAAAACAACAATCTCCCTGTTGAATTTGGGCCTCCAGTGGACGAGCACGCAGACACACAGGGCGGGTATGTGTCCTTAGCCAAGATGGACGGCATGTGAAAGGCAGCTGAAGGCTCTCTCAACAACACACCAATATTTTATAACCTACCTGTGTTTTTCTGTGCAGATGAAGAGGGGACAAAAGCATCGACACATTTTCAAATACTCAAACTGGGGAAATAATATCTTGATGAAAATAAGACAAACTCAAAACGATCATTCTAAACCCCATATAGTCAAAGATTTACAAAGAGACTGTACATTGTATATGTATATTAAGAGTTAGCTAAAAAAAGAAAAAGGAAAGAAAAGTTAACTGAGGTTTCATCAATTAAGACTAAACGCAATGGGCCTCTTAAATAGTCCCTTGGATAGCAAGGATCAAACCAGTCAATCCTGAGGGAAATCAACCCTGACTATTCATTGGAAGGATTGATGCTGAAGTTGAAGCTCCAGTATTTCGGCCACCTGATGTGAAGAGCTGACTCACTGGAAAAGACCCTGATGCTAGGAAAGACTGAGGGCAGGAGGAGAAGGGAGTGGCAGATGATGAGATGGTTGGATGGCATCACCGACTCAATGGACATGAGTTTGAGCAAACTCCAGGAGACAGTGGAGGACAGGGAAGCCTGGTATGCTGTAGTCCATGGGGTCGCAGAGAGTTGGACTCGACTGAGTAACTGAACAACAATGCTGCATTTCCTATTTCCCCCCATGAGCATGTACTACACTGGATTCAGGAGCAACAGTCAAAACTGGTGGTAAAGTCAAAATGACTATGGAAAGAGCTAGAAGCAGATAACCACACTTCGTTAAGGGAGTCCTGATGGAATTGAAGCCTACTCCTAACTCCCTCTCCAAAGTCACAGCCACCTCACAGGAGCACGTGAGCACAGCCATCAGATACCACAGAGTCGGCATATGCTGCATCCCATTGCTACCCATGCAGTCTGATGTTTAGAAAATACAGAGAACCAGTTCAGAGTCAAAGACTATGATGTTACTGCTGTGTTTGGTCTAAAACTAGTCACAGATCTTCTGTCTGACTGTAATCTGGACACTCTTTAAAAAATGAAGCATCAAATTATGTAGCTCGAAAATTCTCTCTAATGCCTAGGAAGCTGACTTATTCACTCTGCCTTCTCTCTCACTTATGACGACCATGAAAACCTTACTCTTTGGTGGGCTCTGCTTCTTGGGGTTCGGTGGTAATCCCTTTTCATTCTTTCCTGATTCTGCAGAGAGAGAAACCGCAGGAGCAAGTCCTCGAAACACACCTGCTTCCAGAAGCACAGTCTGACAAAAGAATGGCACAACAACAGAAATTTTAGAGTAATACCATTTATAACATCTATTACGGCATATTATGAATAGTATTATCACGACATATAAATGCTGTGAATTCATATGGCATATTTCTAACAGTTATTATAATTTTCAGCACCTACATATATTATGGAAAGTTTGGAAAATACAAAAAAACTTCGAGCAAAAAACGCCTGAGTTCAAGGACAGTCACTACTAACATTCGAGTATTTCTTCCAAAGTGACTTTCTCCTAAGCATACTTTTTTGTAGTCTCCAATTACCTATCAGTCTACAAAATACTTGATTCTTTTCATAAAATGTTTTCCTGTGCTTAGAATATAAGGCAGAAGCACAATCTAGCCATTAAAAATGCTACTGAAGATGAAAAATAGTTGCTTCAAAACTGTCTACTATATATTGTAAGTGAACACTTCACACTTCACAGAGTGTTCATTCACTCAGTATATACTCACTAAGCCTACTATGTGCTGGACACAGAACACAGGCACCTACAGTACCTACATGAAGGTGAAGCATTTGCTTTTTCTGGTTATGACATCAGTTCAGTTCAGTTGCTCAGGTGTGTCTGACTCTTTGTGACCCCATGAACCGCAACATGCCAGGCCTCCCTGTCCATCACCAACTCCCGGAGTCTACCTAAACCCATGTCCATTGAGTCGGTGATGCCATCCAACCATCTCATCCTGTCGTCCCCTTCTCCTCCTGCCCTCAATATTTCCCAGCGTCAGGGTCTTTTCAAATGAGTCAGCTCTTTGAATCAGGTGGCCAAATTACTGAAGTTGCAGCTTCAACATCAGTCCTTCCAATGAACACCCAGGACTGATGTCCTTTAGGATGGACTGGTTGGATCTCCTTGCAGTTCAAGGGACTCTCAAGAGTCTTCTCCAACACCATAGTTCAAAAAGCATCAATTCTTCGGCACTCAGCTTTCTTTATAGTTCAATTCTCACATCCATACATGACTAGCGGAAAAACCATAGCCTTGACTAGACAGACCTTTGTTGACAAAGTAATGTCTCTGCTTTTTAATATGCTGTCTAGGTTGGTCATAAATTTCCTTCCAAGGAGTAAGCATCTTTTAATTTCATGGCTGCAATCACCGTCTGCAGTGATTTTGTAGCCCCCAAAAATAAAGTCAGCCACTGTGTATATGTATTCATGAAAGCCTGAAAAATGAACTGGGCCAAGATATGAAAAGGAAAACTGTGGCCTCTCTCACAACAGATGCCTCCTCCATTATCTGTATTTTGCGACGATTAGAAGTTACTGCTTTTGTCAAAAGAGTCATTTTTAATTTTAAATACACTTAAGTGGACTTAGCTTTGTCCAGATGGAGAAAGTTCTTTCTCCTTTTCATTTCACAGATGAGGTAACCTAAACTGGCTTCTGAGTGGCTGCCTAGTTACCAGGTCAACCAGGTTCTTGAAAGTTCCCTCATTTCCCCTAGGGTTAAATAGCAGAGACATGTCCTCAAGGGTTCTGGCGGGGCTCCGCGCGGGACACCTGCGGCCCCTACACCTGTCCGAGGCCTGGCTGCACAGGAGGCTCCTGGGGATAGGGGTCCAGAGGGGGCGGTGGCCGGGGTCGCCGGGACCGTCGTCGCTCCCAGGCCTGGCTCCTAATCCCCCCAGGCCAGGTTCCCGAACCCTCTCCCCAGGCCCAGCCCTCGACCCCGGAAGCGGAGTCAGCGGCATCCCCGGGCGGCTGGAGGTGACCGTCAGGCCGCAGGTCTTGCCCCGCCCTCTGCGGTCTCCCGGCGCTCCGCGAGCTCCCGGCCGCCGGTCTGGCCCCTCTTTACCTTCAGCGCCCCGGCTCGTCCTTGCCGTAGCAGAAGCGAGGCCGCCATGGCTGTGACTCAGGCGCAGACAGGACGACCCTCCCGCCGGGCAGAGGTCGCACCAGACTGACGCGACGCGGCACCAGCACTGCCGCCTGAGGGCCCGCCCCTTCGGATGATGGCGCCAATCACAGGCAGTGAAGGGGCGAGGCCCGGCAATGGCTGCTGCGCGCGCACCACCGCCGAAGCCCTGCGCGCGCACCGTCGCCGAAGCCCTGCGCGCGCATCACCGCAGCCTCCAGGTTCCCGGCGGCGCAGCGCGAGGCCGGGCTCCCGGGAGGAGCCGCCAATCACTGGCGGAGGGTTTCCGCTGACTGCGGCCGCGCGGCAGGATGGGTGCTGGGACGCCAAAGTGGTCTTTGTGGGTGTCATTTCCTGTCCTCCGACCGGCGTGGTCACCCTGCAGGGCAGCATCAGGTTGGACCGTGGACGCTCTTTGACCTGTGAGCACCGTAGTTCCAGAACCAAGGGGACGAGAAATGCAAGCTTTAGTTTACTTGTTTGTAGCACGCGGGGCAAAGACTCCCCTCTGAACCCTCCCCTGTTAGGCATAAACTTGGGTAGGGGTAGGTAGTTATTGACCTCCTTCTCACCCTGTTTACCGTGCCTTAACGCGTCTCTGTGGCATGCAGAGTATCATGGAAGTATCACTGGTCACTGGAAGTATCCCGTTAAAGAGGAGCGGACCCCTACCTCAGCTCCACCAGGAGAGGCCCTCCACTTGGCTGGAGACTCATTCGGGTGGCAAGGTAAATGGGAAAACAGGTCCAACAGGAAACCCTGCCGCATTTGGTTAAAAAAAAAAAAGCAACCACATAGGATTAACAGAAACTGGTGACTAACAAGATTCTTGAGCTTGTCAGAGTAGCAGCTAAAGGAGGGACTTCCTTGGCAGTCCAGTGGTTAGGACTGTGCCCTTCCAATGCAGGGGGTGCAGGTTCCATCCTTGGTCAGAGAACTAAGATCCCACATGTGGGTATGGCCAAAAAAAAAAGTTAGCTCAAGGAACAGTTTGCTGAAAGTTCTGCTTTTAACTTGCCTTCATTGACCAAACTCACCTTAATTACTTTTGACTCCTTTTTGTTGTTTTTAGTCACTAAGTTGTGTCCGACTCTTTGTGACCCCATGGACTGCAGCACTCCAGGCTTCACTGTCCTTCACTATCTCTGGAAGTTTGCTCAAATGCATGTCCACTGTCGGTGATACTATCTAACCATCTCATCCTCTGCCACCCACTTCTCCTTTTGCCCTCAGTCTAGTGGCTCAGATGATAAAAAAATCTGCCTGCAGTGCAGAAGACCTGGGTTCGATTCCTGGGCCCGGAAGATCCCCTGGAGAAGTGAATGGCAACCCACTCAGGTATTCTTGCCTGGAAAATTCCATGGACAGAGAAACCTGGTGGGCTACAGTCCATGGGATCGCCAAGAATCGGACATGACTGAGTGACACTTTCCCAGCATCAGGGTCTTTTCCAATGAGTCTGCTCTTCGCATTAGGTGGCCAAAATATTGACGCTTCAACTTCAGCATCAGTCCTTCCAATGTTGATTTTCTTTATGAGGGACAGGTTTGATCTCCTTGCTGTCCACGGGACTCTCAAGAGTCTTCTCCAGCACCACAGTTCAAAAGCATCAATTCTTCGGCACTCAGCTTTCTTTATAGTCCACCTCTCATATCCCTACTTGACTACTAGAAAAACCATAGCTTTGACTAGATGGACTTTGTTGGCAAAGTGATATCTTTGCTTTTTAATATGCTGTCTACATTTGTTACAGCTTTCCATCCAAGGAGAAAGTGTCTTTTCATTTCATTTCATTTGTCTCCTTAGCCACACCAATAGAGAACAACTGTGACTTATGGTCACTACAATAAAACAGATTTTAGTTGTTTTCCAGGAAATTGGGGTGAACACCTACCTGATCAGTTCAAGCCAGTTAAGACTGGTTGGGATCACCAACCCTAAAACTGGGTCTGTGCCAGGTGTCTGATGAATGACCTTTTGACATCAGTAAGCTGGAAACTCCACCCTCGGATCATGCTAAGGGCTTAGATTTTTGACCATGCCTCTCATGAAAAAGCATGCAAGTCAGAGACACCAGAGCCTCAACTGTTTCCTGATTCCAATCTCCTTTCCCCGTGCTTGAGATCACCTGCTTCCTTATCTCATAAATACCTCAAGCCCCTCAACATAGGACAGGCACATTTAAGATTTGTTCTCTCATCTCACTCGGCTGCCTTGTGGATGAGCCGTTTCTCTGCTGCACCAACTCTGTGTGTGCTGAGGCTGCATACACAGTCTCAGCGTTTGGCCTCCTGCACATCACAGATGACCCTGGTTCAATAACACTCAGACCCTTCTCAAAGGGGACTCGAGTCAAGTGGATGCAATGGGACCTGCCACCGTCCACACTGGGAGGCAAGGACAAGGACTCAAGCCTTAGGGTAATAATGAGGAAGGTGTCCTCCTCACTGCAGAGAAAAGGAAGAAAACATGCCGATGGAAGAATCATCCTTTGCTCAAACCTAATTAACTGTTGCCTCCAGGGGAAAGTTCAGGCTTGTCTTTGTGAATTTTGCTTATTTTATAGGTGATTAAGAATATTGAAGGTGATAAACCACAGGGTCTGAAATTGGAAAGTCCACATCACCCTCATTCTTGGGATCCAGAGACCTTGGTTCTCTCCCACCAGCGTTGGGGTAGACATCTGGCTTGGTTTCCAAGTGGTTTAGTAGTAAAGAATCCATCTGCCAATGCAGGAAACTCAGAAGACCTGGGTTCAGTCCCTGGGTTGGGAAGATCCCCTGGAGGAGGAAATGGCAACCTACTTCAGTATTCTTGCCTGGAGAATCCCATGACAGAGGGGCCTGGCTGGCTACAGTCTGTGGGGTTGCAAAAGAGTTGGACAGGACAACAGAAGTCTTGCTTGAGTCCTAAGACTCATTAACAAAGAAAGCAAAAAGACCTCCTGCAGTTAACGAGGTGGGGTCATCAGCCAGAGTGGCTTGAGGAGGTGGTACTTTGAAGATAACCAAGGGAGGAAGTGACCCAGTGCCGGGGTGGGGGTGGGGGTTGCATCTTGATGGTTTTTCGAAGAAGCGATATGATTATGGGCCTGAAGGTGACTATAGCAACTGTGTATAAGATCAGTGCCGACTGGAAAATAAAAATGTACAGCGTGAGAGTTGGGAGTTAAGCTTTATTTGGGGAAAATGAGTGTAGCCTGGGAGATAGCCTCTCAGATAACTCAGGAAGTGCTCCGAAGAGGTAGGGGGAGGTCAGTGTTATATGTGATTTTAGTGAAGGGAGTTCAAGCACACATTTCAGCAGAGGCTCACTGCTAGGGGCAGATGTCACTGTTAATGATTCTAGCGCCTTTCTAGATACAAGGAGATGGAAAAATTGGGCTCATAAATTCTCCTGAAAATATCTACCTACCCGAAGCCCTGTTCTGCCAGTTTTTCCTGGAACACAGAGTGCCTTGTTCCTGATCTGCACCCTGAACTACTTCCACGGGGTACTGTGGCCCGTGACTTCATCCGTGTAGAGGCAGATGTCAGGTGATGATTTGTAGTGGGCACAAGTGCCTAAGCTTGAGGGCAGCAAGACCTTATTGGCAGCTGCTGCAGTCAGGTGAGGAGGCTACTACATTTGGCCAAAAGGAACAGAAACTGCAGGATCGGTGCAAGACGCAAGTAGAAAAATCAAGCGGAAGCCAGAGAAAGGGCCAGTGGTTTCACAATGATTTGTGAAGATGGGATTATATCCTATTTAATGGTCAGCTGGCAAACTGTAGACTAGATTTTGCTGACAGTGGGGGCTGTTGCTCAATTGTTAAGTCTCTGCCCAGAGTCTTTCTGCAGGCACCAGTCACCTCTGCCTGAAGCTCTAGCAAGTGCTGACCCAGCATTTTTAGGCAAAACCTCAAAAATTGTCAATATTCCTTAATTAATCCCATAAATTTATTTCTAAATTAGAAATCCCACCCACCCATCTTAAAAATCATCAACATGCCCACCCCAGCCCCCAATCACTGGGTCACTTCCTCCCAGGGTTACCCTCAATGTACCTCCACTTTGGCTGATGACCCCAACTCATTCACTGCAGTTTTGTTTTGTTTAAAAACTTCTTAAGATAAACTAAATAACTGGAACATCACTTGGACCAGTGATGGGTCCTTAACTCAAAAAGGTGTTTGGGCCAAAAAGGAAAATAAAAACACTCAGCTATCACACCTTCTGCATGTATGACCTCACTCTGCATTCTGAGTTTAGACCTACATGCTTGGTAAGCCCCAAAGAAAATGTAAGTTTTTAAATTGAAGTATGGTTGATTAACAATGGTGTTAATTCCCATTATACAGCAAAGTGATTCAGTCATATATATATATATATATACATATATATATATATTATACACACACACACACACACACATATTCTTTTAAAAATGTTCTTTTCCATTATGGCAAAGGAAATATGCATTATCCTATGTAAATAAATACAGTTTAATTATGTGTCTTAGATGAAGATTATTTTAAAAAAGCTTTCAGTAGCTGTGTAGTTTTTCTTATTTATTTATTTTGATCGGAGTAGAGTTGATTTACAGTGATGTGTTAGTTTCAGGTATGCAGCAAACTGATTCAGCTTTATATGTATGTATATTATAATAATATAGGTATATTCTTTTTCAGATGCTTTTCCCATATAGGTTAACACAAAACATTGAGTATAACACGTGCACCCCAATGTTCATTGCAGCACTGTTTATAATAGCCAGGACATGGAAGCAACCTAGATGCCCATCAGCAGATGAATGGATGAGGAAGCTGTGGTACATATACACCGTGGAATATTACTCAGCCATTAAAAAGAATTCATTTGAATCAGTTCTAATGAGATGGATGAAACTGGAGCCCATTATACAGAGCGAAGTAAGCCAGAAAGATAAAGACCATTACAGTATACTAACACATATATATGGAATTTAGAAAGATGGTAACGATAACTCTATGTGCAAAACAGAAAAAGAGACTCCTATGTATAGAACAGACTTATGGACTCTGGGAGAAGGCGAGGGTGGGATGTTTCAAGAGAACAGCATTGAAACACGTATATTATCTAGGGTGAAACAGTTCACCAGCCCAGGTTGGGTGCATGAGACAAGTGCTCGGGCCTGGTGCACTGGGAAGACCCAGAGGGATTGGGTGGAGAGGGAGGTGGGAGGGGGGACCGGGATGGGGAATACATGTAAAAAAAAAAAAAAAAAGATACACTATGGTTGTGATAAAAAAAAATAAATAAATTAATTAATTAAAAAAAAAAAACATTGAGTATAGTTCCCTGTGTTATACAGTAGGTCCTTGTTGCTTATCTGTTTTATATATAGTAGTGTGTCTATAATAACTGTCATTTAAAACT